GCTTTATAAGAAACGTAAAAACGTCAAAGAATGTCAATATAATACAATTAACGGGCACATTTCTTTTTCCGGGCACAAAAGTGTGAAAACATTTATTTGTGTCCGGGTCCGGCACTAATCAGTGGCCCCGGGCACAAAAGATAATTTTTTCAAGAATTCAACACAAAATATAGAAAGAAGAAAATATTGAAGAAGGAAAGAGACAATTTCTATATATTTTCTCTGACTTACATGATTTCCTTTCCAACATTAATTCATTAGTTAAGGAAAGGAAATAAAATTGAATAGCTAATTCCTAATCTAATTCAGGAAGAAGGAAATAAAACAGAATCCAATTAATTAACAAAAACATAACATAAAACAAAAGGTCAGAATAAGATAAAATTGTAATTCAGCACTACCTTTGGATACTGAAATTACGTTTCGAGTAAACACTAGACAGAATCTGTTGGAACGCTGACAGGACCTCGATTCTTTATTGAATTCTTTTTCTTGCCTTCTTATAATCAACAGAGCACGTGTGAGCGATAAAATATTATTAAGTGGCTCACTGTCACATCTTGTACCACCCCCATCCCTCACAAACACATACATTCTCTGATTAGATGTTTGAAAGTTTTCTCATTTGTCGTTCCATTACATGAACACAAGTATTTAAAAATATAGGCCCTGTATCCGAGACGTCATAATCAATAAATAGCTGAAAAGTCTCTTCGAATGCTATGGCAAAGGTTTCGTGAACTATTATCCGTTCCAGAAGTCAAGGCACTCGGTTGTTTTTTGAATAACTTTTGATACGCACAAGATGAAGACCTGCGATTTTCGCCATTCGAAAGAGGAGACTTGGATCCATGTTTTCATAACCAATATCATTTTCAGACGAGTTTTTTGAAATAGGTTTCCAGGAGATCTTTGAAAAACTACGTCGTTTGTAAAGATTTCCCAATAGGATTGTATTGCTTTTTTCTTATGGACTGATAGCTCAGGGTGTCCTCTTCAAAATGGGAGTAAAGTGAGGTATTGATTTTCTACGGTTCGGGCGTTGTATCGGATTTTCTACGACTCCAAGCACTGGCACCCGGTGCCTATTGGTAGCCTTAAAGATTGATGGAGTATGGGTAATCGACCATGCTGAGTTTCGTGGAAATATTTATTTTTAGAAAAAGTTTTAAAAATCTACCGAAAAGCCAGTTTTACGAAAATTAGGGTTTTCAAGCTGTTTTCACCTAATATTAAAAAATTCACTATTCACTTAAAAAACATCAGAACAAGCTCAAATTCTCAGGATATGATTAATGTTGTCCGCTAAATGTGATTAAAAGATCAAAAAGATCTAAAAGCATGTTTTTGTTCATAGGTTTTCCAGAAACCCTTCTGGAAAATCTAAGAGCTCTATAAAATTTATTTTGAGATCTCCTGTGAAGAGGATATAGAATAGCTTAAATACTCTACATTCTGAAGTTTTGAGCTTGTTCTGATGTTTTTTAAGTGAATAGTGAATTTTTTAATATTAGGTGAAAACAACCTGAAAACCCTAATTTCGTAAAACTGGCTTTTCGGTAGATTTTTAAAACTTTTTCTAAAAGTAAATATTTCCACGAAACTCAGCATACTGAAAGACATAGTACCGGACTTTCTGGTTGTTACAACGCTTTTGTTACAACTGTTGCGACTTTTTATGAAAGAGAAACATTTTCATGAAAAGCTGCGTCAAACAAAGTGAACTAAAGCGTGTTTTTTGATTTTTGCGATTCATAAGATTGAAAAAAGTGGTTTCAATCATATTTCTGCGGTTACTAAATGTACGACGTACATAAATGAAAAGAATAATGCTACAAATGCCATAAAAATTTTGCACAGCAGCCAGATTAATGAGTCTGGGCAATTTACAAAACTACGTGGTATTTCAATGGTTGTAGAACGATGAAATAAGTTTTGATCTCTTTCGGACAATTTAGAAAAGATGTATAAACCGTAAATACCGTATTCAGGCAAAACCATACCATAGTCGTTTATAAAATCAGACTTAGACAATCCCGTCGTATTTTTTAATGTCTACAACTACTTTTTCATCCTCTGTTGATAAGTGTCTTTTGTAGTTTTAACTGCTTATTTCCGCAAAAACTGAAATAAATAATAAATAAATGGTACCGCGAACAAGCAGTTATTCTTGAAAAGGTAAGAAATACTGCGTTTTACATGACTTTCTTTGATAGTAAAACTAGCAAACACTCATTTTTGGTAAGTTACATGCTTTTTACTACTAGGAATACTCGGAAATAAACTAAGACCGGAACTTTTCTTGGATTTTTTTATAAAACAAGTATCTTGAAATAGTCAAGCTATTGTTTTTGATTAATGTAAGTTAAAAAGAATTTAATTAACTTTGATATTGGTGCCAGTTTGAACATTACAGACATACTTTCTATTACTTATCTAAAATAGTGCGTTTTTAAAATTGTTTCAACGCACAGAGCCACGCTGAGTTCAATTTTCGTATTTTCAGCTCAAAAATTATTTTAAGAGAGCATTCTATATAATCGTTGTTTGTATGTAACTTCTGTCGCCATTGCTTTTCCATGAATCAGACAGAAAGCAGCCAGATGCCATAGCGAATCGAAATAAAAATGAAATTTGGATTTGATGAAACTTTGGCGAACGCTAGTTCATTTTAATGAAAGTGTAATGATACACAGTGTTCCTATCTCGGTTGTGAGATTCAAACTTTGTTTTTTTCATATGATCGTCAGATTTCTGGACATTTTTAGACAATATTCCAATATATTTTTAAACCGAAAATTCGTCTAGATCAGAAGATAATATACGTTACAGAGAAGGTTTATACACTTTTCGTATATTTTGTTTTAAAGTAAAACTTTTCATCTCACAACTGATTTTATTCAAAATTAAAAACAAAGGCAAAAAATTCATAGCCGTCTTGCAATGTTTCTCCTAATTTCCATCTTCCTAAAGCGACTTCACGTTCTAATACTGGACTAATTTCACAATGGTCAACAAAGAAATGAGTGTCTATATAAGAATGATTTCCACTGCAATGCAAAACAGCTGTTTTTGTGTACGGTATAGGAGAAGTTGTTAATATTTGATTTCCATATTTAAGAATTAATGCCGGATCACATTTAATTCTACATGCTTTTTCCAACGCACGAACTGCATAAGGATGGGATGTAGCCAGACCACATCCTTTCCACTCAATACCGGCAGCCATTGAACATAAAGTTGATCCTACTTTTAAATGTCGATAGTCTTTAGCAACAACTAGTTGTATGATCCATTTAATTAACCCTAAATCTTCAACTGTAAAACATGTATAAAAAGCTTGACCAATAACAGTGCTATCGTTCACTGCCAGCACACCATAACATGAGTCGTCAAATAAGTACTGATCTTTAAAACGATTACTATTCATTTTAATTCTTTCACCAGGTTTCAGCGGTGCAGATACATCTGGTCCCCATACACCGTAATTTTCAGAAAATAATTTAGCACATTGCGCAATATATTCTTCTGTAAACAGCGCTCTTGGTATATGTTCGTATCTAATTTGCGTTGATATGAAAGTAGAGTTAATCATAACTGAACGTTTGGAAAATGCCTTTTTCTAACTGATGCAAAAAAG